AACTGCTAGGTTGGCAGGCGCTGGGACCGAGCGACAGGAGCGCCCCCGATCGGCAAGTCCTAGGTGCTGAGGTTTTACCCACAGCGCCACCCGCGTCCCCAGTGTATATAGAAATGAGCAAACCAGTGATATTTTAGGGCGCAAGCTAGCAGGCTCATTATTCACACGTTACTCACACCATAGGAGCCTACACAACACAAAACACTGTTGCTGTATGTAGGTTTTATTTTATTTGTTATTTATCTTCTATTTTGGAAATGTACATCCAGGGTTTTTTTTACCTTTAGTTTTTTGGGAGCCCCCAAGAGAGTGGTCACTGGTGCCCTGTATATCTATAGGTAAATCCGGCACAGACTCTGGCGAGCCGGCTTCGGAATCAACGCATGTGGGGTGCCCCGCCGCTTCCTCCCGCCGCGCAGGTGCCCTTGATGAGCTTGCCTGGCGTCGGCGCGCGCGGCGGTTTACAAAGCTCCCTGCGCTGCAGCGGCGGCGGCCGCGCCCGAGGCGGAAGATGGAAGTGCGCGCCCAGCTGGAGGCAGCGGCGGCCGCCCCGCCGCCCCAGGACGCGGGTAAAGTGGGGGCCATGGAAGCCGGGGTGGGCAGGGGCAGCAGCAGCCCTCCGGGACCTTCTCAGCTTCCCTGGGGAGGAGAGGACTCGCCGGCGCGCTAGAAGCTGCCGCGCACTTTGGCTCTTATTTTGCCATCTTTAATTGCCAATAGAAGAATGTAATGGCCCAATTATGCCCGCGTTGATATTAGGGGAGCGCACCTGTTGCTGCGTTTGGGGACCTCCTCTGCACCAAGGGGGACCCGCTCCAAGTCCTTCTTAGACACGCTCTAGTTAGGGACGTGGTAAACACTTCTCCCCCACCCCCAAGGCAAGCCTCCAGAAAGCCCAATTCTGGAGCAAGCTCTGCTTTGCGCGTTGTAGCCTCCAACTCCGGCGTCTTGGAAGGACGTTCCCAAAGAGCTGGTTTTCTCGCTCTGCAAAGGAGCGAAACAAACAATTCCCCCCTTAGGTAGCTCCGGCAGGGGCGGTTTCATTCACTGGGTGGCTGCGAAAATTTTGATTCTATCGCTGGTTTCTGTATTAAAACTTGCACAGGAGTAAATCTCACTGAACACAGTGGATCTTATTCTGAGTAAACCTACGCGGAAAACTGGCTTGCCACAGCTTTGGAAATTACTGTAAGGAAAAGTCTGGCACCTTTGCTGGGTGGGGTTTCATGGTAAAGGGGCAGAAGCCCCAGAGGGCGGTATCTCCATTCAGTTTTTACCTGGAGTAGACCTATTGAAATCAATGGGCCTCACTTGGTTATTAATTTCAGTGTGTCTCCTCTGAGTAAGACTTGGGTGAATGCAACCTATAGTTTTATTTTGCTAGGTCATAGGCACAGCACAAAAGCTAGGCTTATGGATCTAAGGCTTGTGGGATCAGGAAAAATAAGGGGTGGGGTGGTTTCTAATTCATGTTCTTTTGGTACCTGGCCTGAAAATGGAAAGAAAAAGAAAGATTGCCCTGCCTGTTCAGTGTTCCCCACTTCTCTTACATTGGTTGGCTGGTGGCGCACCTTTAAAAGAGAGGAAAAAAGAGCGTCCTCACTCAACAGGCAGCACTTATTTTTTATTTTCTGTTTCACATGTGAACTGTTTCACATAGGGACGCGGGTGGCGCTGTGGGTAAAACCTCAGCGCCTAGGACTTGCCGATCATATGGTCGGCGGTTCGAATCCCCGCGGCGGGGTGAGCTCCCGTCTTTCGGTCCCAGCTCCTGCCCACCTAGCAGTTCGAAAGCACCCCTAAGTGCAAGTAGATAAATAGGTACCGCTTTATAGCGGGAAGGTAAACGGCGTTTCCGTGTGCTGCGCTGGCTCGCCAGAGCAGCTTCGTCACACTGGCCACGTGACCTGGAAGTGTCTTCGGACAGTGCTGGCCCCCGGCCTCTTAAGTGAGATGGGCGCACAACCCTAGAGTCGGACACGACTGGCCCGTACGGGCAGGGGTACCTTTACCTTTACCTTCACATGTGAAAACATCAGAATGACTTGAAACCACCTCAGTCCTGTTAAGTGGGGTGAGAATAAAGGCCAAACTCGATGCCAGGGCCAGGCATCCACATCTCTTCCACACCACTTCCTTCGCATAGCAGGGACTTGGAAGGCTGTTTGCATGAAAAGGAGTGTAAGGGAAGAGAAGCAAATCTTGACCTGAACTTTGTTCATTTCCGGTATCACAACTGGGTTGGGAGAAGGCTGCTCAAAGGAAAAGTGAGGGAGGGGTGGTTTTCACTCCCCCCCACCCCTGTTTATTCTTTTCCATCTAGGCAGTAGATTCTATGACCCCTTTCCTGTTTTATATGTGAACAGAAAGATGTGCATGTACATGGCTGCCTATCAAGCCTAGTTTGGCCCCAAATTCCAGACTGATGCTCATGGCGACACTGAATCCTTAACATGTTGTGCATGTGGCATGTGGACCTGTGATGAATTGGCCTTATGTATGTACCACCAATTTACAGGAACAAATCTTTTATCCACTGTCATGGTCCTGGCATGTGGTGGTGCCTGCGCATGCTGAGTCCAACACCAGAGACAGTTTAAAGTGTCCACTGCACCCTCATGGATGGTCTGAGTTGTGGCGTCACAAAGTTCAGGGATAGGTCTTCCCTTTCCCCCATGTTAAGAAGTATAGCATTAGCTTAATCGGTCCCCCAAATGGCCTGAAAATACACAATGTGGGTTTCAGATAAGCAGATTTGGCCTTGAATGCTACCTGGGAATCATATGTAAGCCCTTGGGAAATATAGGCTCATATGCTGTCAATGTAAATCTAAGGTACAGTGCGCTATAAAATACTCTCTCCTTACTTTTATGAGCTCTTCAAGAGGAAAAACTGGGTGTATTAAATGACTTGCCTTGCAAGTTCAAACCAAAGGTCAGTGTTCTGTTTCCAGCTGTGGTAACCCAGATACAAGCAGTACATGCAAATGATGGCCATCATTTGTTTGACCCAAGTATCTGGTGCTTGGAGGCATACATTGAGGTTCCATTTAGTTATTGTGACTGATAGCCGTTGACAGAGCATTCCTCCGTGGAGTTGTCCTGTGGTTGGTTGGTTGGTTTTAAGCCATCTAGGTTTAATAGATTTCTAAGACAGTCATTAAGAGGTTGTGACAGTTATTAAGAGGTCATTAAGAGGTTGTGAAAAAGGTGACCATTTGCAAAATTAAAGCGGAAAGGAAACAAACCACTACACTGATAAAGGTGGAAGAGGAGTGGGGCAGGGGCTGAACAGGAAGGTGTCCCATGACATGACTTTTCATGAAGGTTGTACATCTTTTGTAAGGAAGCTGCTTTTTCAGTACTAAACACTTAAGAAATAAGGACAGAGGTCTCCACAGGTCATAATATTAGATGGAGAATGTGTAAGCTACTTGTGATGTATATTAGAACAAATTACACAAAACCAGGACATGGCTTTTTATGTCACGGGAAGCTGTTTTGACTTTTGCACATTGGAAATGCATTAGTTCATATTTTCCCCTGGGAAGCTGTTGGTTTAACCCTTCATTCCCAAGTGAAACAGCCAATTCTGCTCCCATTCAGCATGCATTATTCTTACCCTTCACTTTATGTCTTGCATTGCTGTCTTTCCACAGTTAAAACCTAGACTGCAAACTTCTTGAGCAGGGACCTGTCTTACTTTTGTATCTCGCTTTCTTGAATAACCATTTCAGTTCATTTGCTTTGCAGTGTGCATGGAGGAGTTTGCGAGTCAAGAGGGGAAGGGACTTAGAGAGCCGCTGTTGTGCACAGATGAAAATGGGAACCTTGAGAGTGAGGTTGGAGCCAGAAGTAGTGTGGTGTCCGTTCTCCACACCGTCATTATGGAAGAAAAGATGGGGCAGATCCTGGCGAAAGAAAGGGAGAATGATGTTGGAAAGCAGGAGCAGGCAGGGGACTGTTACATAGGACAAGGCGCAGGGTCCCCGGCTCCACAGTCGTCAGCTTTGGATAGTCACCAGCTCAATTTTGTCACTATATACAGGCACCTGCCAAACTATGCCAGCAATATAAACCCCGATCCCCCTGTTCCAGAAGCTGAACTGAACCAAGAATTCATTAATCAGCCGAAGCCACAAATCCCAGCAGAAGTATCCTGCCTTAAAGTTTTGGAAAAGGGGAATGTGAAAAGAAGAAGCGATGCCGTTTTCACTGCTGGTTCTCTGAAAGCATCTTCGGCTGCTTTGGAGGAACAGAGTCAGGGTATGAGCCAAAACCTAAGTCATGCTATGCGCAGATCGGCCAGATGCGCTGCAGCCAGCTGTGTGGGTCAGCAGTCCTCCAAAGCCTCTTCGTTCCAGACAGCCAAGGGCAAGCAGGAGGGAGCCAATGAGAAGAAAGAACCACCAAAAGCTCCAGTGGAGCCTGCTCCACCTGCCCAGAAAAAGACACGCACGTTCTACAGTGCTGGTAAGCAATTAAGAGCTGATTCATCCATCTTCATGCACTTGTCCCTTCTCAGCCCTCAGTGCTACAGTGTTCTTCGAGTTAACTGCTGCTGGATCCTGTTATAGTTACAGTGGTGCCTCGCAAGACGAAATTAATTCGTTCCGCAAGTTTTTTCTTCTTGCGAGTTTTTCGTCTTGTGAAGCACGGTTTCCCATAGGAATGCATTGAAAATCAATTAATGCGTTCCTAGGGAAACCGCTTGCCAGGCTGGCGGTGCGGAGAAGGGCTTTTCTCCCCACCGCAAGCCTTCAGGACAGGTACGGGAACAGAGGGGAAGGCGCGCAGAGCTTTCCCTCTGTTCCCGGGGCTTGCATGGGAGGAGGGTTTTTCCTCCCCACCGCCAACATTCAAAACAGCATTCTGAATGTTGGCGGTGGGAAGGAAAACCCTCCTCCCACCCCAAGTCTTCAGGAAAGCCATCCGAAGCCGGGCGGCGGGAGAAGGTGTCCCCGCCCCACCGCCCCGCTTCGGAGCTTCGTTCCGATGCCGGGCAGCGGGAGGAGGCATTCCCGCCCTGCCGCCCGGCTTCGGAGCTTCGTTCCGAAGCCGGGCGGCGGGAGGAGGTCCGAGGACAGTGGGGAAGACGCGCTGCGCTTCCCCACTGTCCCAGAGATTTCCCTATGGGCTGTCGTCTTGCGAAGCAAGCCCATAGGGAAATTCGTTTTGCGAAGCGCCTCCAAAACGGAAAACCCTTTCGTCTAGCGGGTTTTCCGTCTTGCGAGGCGTTCGTCTTGCGGGGCACCACTGTACTTATTTGCACACTTTGCTGGGGAGCAGGGAAGTATTATGAGTTGGAAACGGTTGCCTCCTGAACCACCAGCACCCATTTGAAGTCCCTCAAAGCTCCCATGTTTCCAACAGCAGCAGCTTCTTTTTTTTACTGGGTCTGCATGCAATGACCCAACCAAAAAGTGAATTGTACCAAGTGCTTATTATAGCTCGACGACAGGCAGAGCGAGGGACGTGGGTGGCACTGTGGGTTAAACCACAGAGCCTAGGACTTGCTGATCAGAAGGTCGGCAGTTCGAATCCCCACAACAGGGTGAGCTCCCATTGCTCGGTCCCTGCTCCTGCCAACCTAGCAGTTTGAAAGCACATCAAAGTGCAAGTAGATAAATAGGTACCACTCCAGCGGGAAGGTAAATGGTATTTCCGTGCGCGGCTCTGGTTTGCCAGAAGCGGCTTAGTCATGCTGGCCACATGACCCAGAAGCTGTACGCCGGCTCCCTCGGCCAATAAAGCGAGATAAGCGCCGCAACCCCAGAGTCGGTCACGACTGGACCTAATGGTCAGGGGTCCCTTTACCTTTACCTTACCGGCAGAGTAAGCAATGCTTAGCCCTGCTCAGTACAGCACGATGGCGAGTACGTTCAGTAGCACCTTCACCAGTCGCTGTCTTTACTGAGGTTGGTGGAGGAGAGTTTCCAAGCCACTTTTATATCTTTCTCTCGTAAACATTCTCATGGCCCCCATGGCTAGACACCAGAGTGCCTTGGACAGGTCGCTGAGCTTGAAGCCCAGCTAACAGCTGCCCAGAACTAAGCAATAGATAAGAAATTGGCTCCCTGGCCAGCTGGTGCCCTGTCATAAGATAAGTGTTACAACATCTCTTAACGCCTTGCAATGCCGTTCTGCAATTCCATTACAGCTCCTCCTTCATTTCTTAATTCCAGAGTATTCCTTTCAGGTAGCCAAGAGCCCATCAGTCTGGAACTGGGTCATCCAAAAATCAGTTAGAGATCTCTACATACCTGCTTGGTATACAGAAATATAGTAGTTGATGAGTTAAAAGAAAATTCATTAAAAAAAAAAACAGACATGAAAGCTTCCAGAACCTTTGCAATGTTGAGGGAACAACGATAAGAAAATTGTAGATAAATTTAATTGCCTAAATTGGTTGGTATGCTTGCGGGGTGGCACGCTTCTGCCCATTCATAGCTATACAGTGGTACCTCATGTTACATATGCTTCAGGTTACAGACGCTTCAGGTTACAGACTCTGCTAACCCAGAAATAGTGCTTCAGGTTAAGAACTTTGCTTTAGGATGAGAACAGAAATTGTGCTCCGGCGGTGCGGCAGCAGCAGGAGGCCCCATTAGCTAAAGTGGTGCTTCAGGTTAAGAACAGTTTCAGGTTAAGAACGGACCTCTGGAACGAATTAAGTACTTAACCTGAGGTACCACTGTACTAAAATTTCTCTGCTGTGTCTCCTGTGGGCAGCTCTCACAAGTGCCCCCAGGGTGGGGGCAAAAAGATCTAAAGGAACTGCAAGTCAAGCAGCCTACGTAGATCTTAGAATGATGGCTGGTATCCAACTATGGTTTACTCAGAGTAGACTCATTGAAATTAACGAATCTAAATTAGCAATTGTTATTAATTGTAATGGGCTTACTCTGAGTATGACCAGCATTGAATGTAGCCCGTTATCTGTGGTTGACATCCAGGGGATGTTGAAGTGAAATGTGCACTCGGTATGAGATTTTAAAAACTCCTCCTGTAATGTCACTTCCATAGCTATATAGCAATAAGGTGATTAGGCTCAGAGCTGGCAGTTAGCCCCAGCCTCAGCCCTTTATAATTATGTAGGAAGACTGGCTCTAGCCCTGAACAGGAGCCCTCCTGTTAGAGACCATGGGAGTGCTGCAACATTTTGATGTATTTGTATTTTGACGTATAGGAGTGTTAATACAAATATTTTATGGGTTTTCTACTATTCCTCCCCACTCTGAACTTTTCCTCTTCTCCCTTTTGCATTCCCCCTTTTTATTCTTCATTTAATGATACCCTCCTTCCCAGAACAGCTAGAGGAGCTGGAGAGAACGTTCCACGAGGACCATTATCCGGACAGCGAGAAGCGGCGCGAAATTGCTGCTGCTATCAGCGTGACCCCACAGCGTGTTATGGTGAGTCTTCCCTGCTGAACAACAAACATGGGGGGGGGGTCGATAGTAAAAATAGCCCACTGGGAAAGGATTATTCTGCTGTTGGGATTGCATTTACAATTCCTCCCTCCACCCCTGTTGGCCAGGGGTCAGCAACTCCGGTCCACCGTCCCTCAGACCATGTGTGGGGCTGGAATATTTTTTTTTGGGGGGGGGGAGGAAATGAACAAATTTCTATGCCCCACAAATAACCCAGAGATGCATTATTAAATAAAAGCACACATTCCACTCATGTAAAAACACCAGGCAGGCCTCACAAATAACCCAGAGATGCATTTTAAATAAAAGGACACATTCTACTCATGTGAACACACGCTGATTCCCGGACCGTCCGCGGGCCGGATTGAGAAGGCGATTGGGCCAGATCCAGCCCCCGGACCTTAGTTTGCCTACCCCTGCTGTTAGCCTTTCTGAAGCAGGGGGTGAATAGCAGTTGAATCACAACTGTGTTTCATTCAGATTGGGTCAGCATCCAAATTGCAATTGATGCTCCATCACATATACCGCCACCCACCTGCCGTATCTTTGGTGGCAGCTTTTTATATATAAAATGCCAAAGCTGGCTGCAGTCTAGGGTGGACCAGTAGGAGTGGGGGAAAGGACTGAGCAACCTCTGGCAATTCCCCACTCAATTTGCCCTTCTCCAGCTGCTTCTTACCAGGAGAGTGGGGCATGTAGCTTGAGGAAGGAGAGATAATAATAATAATAATAATAATAATAATAATAATAATAATAATATAATAATAATAATTCTGGGTGGCTTCCACAAAGACCAAAAATACACTAATATGTCATACATTAAAAACTTCCCTTAAGATGTCTTCTGAATGTCAGGTGGTTGTTTATCTCTTTGACATCTGATGGGAGGGCGTTCCACAGGGCGGGTGCCACTACCGAGAAGGCCCTCTGTCTGGTTCCCTGTAGCTTTGCTTCTTGCAATGAGGGAACCGCCAGAAGGCCCTCAGCACTGGACCTCAGTGGCAGAATGATGGGGTGGAGATGCTCCTTCAGGTGTACTGGGCCGAGGCAGTTTAGGGCTTTAAAGGTGCCAATACTTTGAAAAGCATCAAGCAGATTGCAGCTTCAGTCCTTGCTTGTCTTTTAAAATGGGATGGTTGGTGGTGGATATTTTTGCGGTGCCTTTTGATTTCTCTGTGTTGTGAAAGGGGGTTCTGTGACCTGGTGAAGAACATTAACTTGCCACAAGACGTCTCATTTTATGGTGAGTTTGGTGTTCATACGGTTTACAAAGAAGTTGGAAATGTGGAGTTTGTTTTATTTCACTGAGGATTCCTCTCCCCTTTGTTAGATCTGGTTCCAGAATCGCAGAGCCAAGTGGAGGAAAACAGAGAAATTGACGGTGAAAAGCAGCAAGAAATGTTCAGTCGCAACATTGGCTTTGTCAATAGGCCGTCAACAAAGTTCTCAGGGGTGAGAAGCCTCCACAACTCAGGTTGAAGATGGATGGTAGTTTTTTTAAGAGAACAGAAAGTTCCTTACATCCTAAAATATTCTTTTGTCACGTGGGTTTTCCAAGGTTTTGGAACTACAGAAACTTGCAGAGCCTGTTTCTTTGGGAGCAAAATTGACATGAGTGACATCACACTATGACCTAGGAGGAATCTCTCAGGTCACTTTTAGCAGTTTGGCAAAAATATGTGCCAGTCTCCAGGATGAAGCTTATATGAATGACGGGCGTTTATTTTCTCTCACAGCCTTTTTCTTAATTTCATACTTTCTGTTAATGGTGCTGGAATACAAAGTGTCTGCAGCCAGAAGTCTACCTTTTAGGTACCCAAATACAATTCAGTTTCTAAAGAGTATTTGGGATTTTAAATTGCAAATATGTTTTAAAATACAGGTTTTTGTGAGTTACAGAAGGTATAACTAAAAGGTATAGGTGTTTAAACAACAGACAAAATGTGTGATGAGAGGAAGTTGACAAAAAATGCTTTTCCCCATCAGTTCCTTTCCAAATTTATGATGCACCCCCCTTCAAAATAGAACTGCCTTATGAGTTACGCTAAGTGATTTTTCTCTCTGGAAATTGTGTGAAATTAAAATAAGCTTTCTTAAAGCAACTCTTATGGAATACAACAAATCCTTGCTTTTATACTGCCTCCCCCCCTCCCAAATTTATTTCCCCAACTCCTGCCAGTATTATAGGGGTGTGGCTTTGGATTCCTGTACAGCTTTTTATCAATTCCCATGTTTCCTGTTTCCTGTATCCTTCTCCTTAATGCCGCTCTTCCCCCTTCCCCAATGCCTCATAATAATAATAATAATAATAATAATAATAATAATAATAATAATAATAATTTTATTATTTCTACTCCACCCATCTGGCTGGGTTTCCCCAGCCACTCTCGGCAGCTTTCAACATAACATTAAAAGCACAATAAAACATCAAACATTAAAAACTTCCCTAAACAGGGCTGCCTTCAGATGTCTTCTAAAAGTCGGATAGTTGTTTATTTCCTTGACATCTGATGGGAGGGTGTTCCAGAAGGCAGGTGCCACTACTGAGAAGGCCCTCTGCCTGGTTCCAAACATCCTCTCAGCATAGCAGCCCTGAAATACGATAAATTTTGTCTCAACGGCTGTGATATTTGAGTTTGAATTGGGGGGGGGGGGCATTTGACAGATCAGCCAACCAAGCTAAAGAGAGAAAGCGAATATTCTTGTGCTGTAATGAAGCTGCAAAGGCATTATCTTAGTAAAGAAGGTGACAGAATCTCTTTTCCTCAGAAGACAAGGAAATGGAAAGGGAAAGTGAAGCAGCATCGAGGGGAAGGTTTGCATTTTGCCTTCTGCCCATTCCTCCAGTGTGGTGCAGTGGTTAAGAGCAGTGGACTTGTAATCCGGTGAACCGGGTTCGCTTCCCTGCTCCTCCACATGCAGCTGCTGGGTGACCTTGGGCCAGTCACACTTCTCTGAAGCCTCTCAGCCTCACTCACAGAGTGTTTGTTGTATGGGAGGAAGGAAAAGGAGAATGTTAGCTGCCTTGGGACTCCTTCGGGTAGTGATAAAGCAGGATATCAAATCCAAACTCTTCTTCTTCTTCCTCCTGATCATGCTGTTAAACTTTGCTTTCAGTATAACTCTGCTGCCTGCACCCCCCGTATCTGACATGGTGCACGATGAGCCTGCTGCACTCATGATGGATGCCGCACCTGATGCCAACTATTCTAACATGCTCAGTGGGTCGGCCGTGCCACTGTCCGCCTCCTCAGGTGAGATCTGTTCAGCTCGTGGCACTGGTGACTTGGGTAGGGTTGGCCCTTGGCTCACTTCCTGTTTTCCTACATTACTTCCTCTCTCAGTGGAAGGTCTATTTCTCACACGGTGCAGCACTAAACCGAGGCCTTTATCTTCATGGGATAATAATAATAATAATAATAATAATAATAATAATAATAATAATTTATTATTTGTACCCCGCCCATCTGGCTGGGTTTCCCCAGCCACTCTGGGCGGCTTCCATAGAAACCAAAAAACACTAAAATACCATACATTAAAAACTTCCCTGAACAGGGCTGCCTTAAGATGTCTTCTGAATGTCAGGTAGTTGTTTATCGTTTTGACATCTGATGGGAGGGGGTTCCACAGGGCGGGCGCCACTACCGAAAAGGCCCTCTGCCTGGTTCCCTGTAGCTTTGCTTCTCGCAATGAGGGAACCGCCAGAAGGCCCTCGGTGCTGGACCTCAGCGTCCGGGCAGAACGATGGGGGTGGAGATGCTCCTTCAGGTATACTGGACCGAGGCCGTTTAGGGCTTTAAAGGTCAGCACCAACACTTTGAATTGTACTCGGAAACGTACTGGGAGCCAATGTAGGTCTTTCAAGACCGGTGTTATGTGGTCTCGGCGGCCGCCCCCAGTCACCAGTCTAGCTGCCGCATTCTGGATTAGCTGTAGTTTCCGAGTCACCTTCAAAGGTAGCCCCACATAGAGCACATTGCAGTAGTCCAAGCGGGAGATAACTAGAGCATGCACCACTCTGGCGAGGCAGTCCGTGGGCAGATAGGGTCTCAGCCTGCGTACCAGGTGGAGCTGGTAGACAGCTGCCCTGGATACAGAATTGACCTGCACCTCCATGGACAGCTGTGAGTCCAAAATGACTTCCAGGCTGTGCACCTGGTCCTTCAGGGGCACAGTTACCCCATTCAGGACCAGGAAGTCCTCCACACCCGCCCGCCCCCTGTCCCCCCAAAACAGTACTTCTGTCTTGTCAGGATTCAACTTCAACCCATTAGCCGCCATCCATCCTCCAACCGCCTCCAGGCACAAGATTGTTCCATTCACATTATAAACACAAGATTGTTCCATTCATATTATAAGGTGCACACACAAAACAACTTTGGCATATTTGAAAAAGGCCGTAAGACAGCTTGTAAACGGAGGATTCTTGCGTCTCATTCCTTGGAATACAGCAGAGAAAGACTGATGTTGGAGCACACCAGGACGACTACCTGTGACTCTGTTTTTCCCCATCGACTTTCCACAATTGTAATGCTTTTGTTGTTGTTTAGTTGTTTAGTCGTGTCCGACTCTTCGTGACCCCATAGACCAGAGCACACCAGGCACTTCTGTCTTCCACTGCCTCCCGCAGTTTGGCCAAACTCATGTTGGCAGCTTCGAGAACACTGTCCAACCATCTCGTCCTCTGTCGTCCTCTTCTCCTTGTGCCCTCCATCTTCCCCAGCATCAGGGTCTTTTCCAGGGAGTCTTCTCTGCTTTTAGAAAGGAAATATCTAGTCTTCATGTTTGACCTGTTATGTAACTCCGCTCACTGGAAAAAAAGCATGGCTTTCATTTAATATAGGGAAACTTGTGACCCTTCTTGAGTTGTTGGACTTCATCTCCCAGCAGGTCCTGTGGTTGGGGGTGGTGGGAGCATCATCAGGAGGGCCACAGGTGCCCCCCCAGGTTAAAACCTCCCGTGTTTCCTTGCTTGTGGCGTATTCCACTGTGCCTCACTGCGACAAAGACTGATTCCAGAATGCTTCCCTTGATTTTTCAAATCTTGCAGCCAGGACTGTAAAATTTGCTTTCACTGTGTAAGAGCAAACAAAAATACTCCTCAGTTTCATCTGGATCCAATCTGGTTCCAATTCCACAATCAGACAGTGGGTAAAAGACTTAGAATGTAAAGGCTACTTGAGAGAGGCGGCGTAAACCCTTCTTGACTCTGAGATGAAAGTTAACCGGCTGCATCTACAAAGTAACTCAATGAGATTTTCTTCACTGGTGAAGGCAAAAATGAGTTACTGGCTTTCATATTCCTTTGAAGATAGATCAGTAGATAATCTCAGAGTTGTGAGTTTGAGCCCCACAAAAGGTTCCTGCATTGCAGAGATTTGGACTAGATGACCCCCACGGTCCCTTCCAACTCGAAAGTTCCAGGGTAGTCAAATGCCAGGTAGCTGCTCCCTCCAGACTCCTAAAGGAAAGAGGCTTTCACTGCCCCCCTTCATGTAAAGCATTTTTAGGGGGAACTTAACTGAGGCTCAGGGACGTGGGTGGCGCTGTGGGTTAAACCACAGAGCCTAGGGCTTGCCAATCAGAAGGTCGGCGGTTCAAATCCCTGCGACGGGGTGAGCTCCCGTTGCTCGATCCCTGCTCCTGCCAACCCAGCAGTTCGAAAGCATGAAGTGCAAGTAGATAAATAGGTACTGCTCCAGCGGGAAGGTGAACGGCCTTTCCGTGCACTGCTCTGGTTCGCCAGAAGCGGCTTAGTCATGCTGGCCACATGACCCAGAAGCTGTACGCCGGCTCCCTCAGCCAGTAAAGCAAGATGTGCGCCGCAACCCCAGAGTCAGCCACGACTGGACCTAATGGTCAGGGGTCCCTTTTTACCTTTTTACCTGAGGCTCATGCCTGGCAAGAGTGAAGAGTCCTTAGAGCAAACTGAAGGTGTGAGTGAAAGCGCTCTCCTCTTCTTCTTCTCAGCCGAGGATCAGCAGCTGGAGTGGGAGATGCTGACTGAGAAATAGGAGCCGGCCAACTAGCAGCAGTTCAGGAGGCAAATTGGCTCGGGGTTTCCAAGTGTATTGAGGACAGCATTGAAAGGGATGTTCAGAGAGGGCTGGGAAGAGAGCGAGCCAAAGCAAAAAACCTCTGAGGGTATGTGGGACTTGGAAGCACTGGCTGTCTTTACCTGTCCAGGTGAGAGCTGGGAGGGCAGCCTGCCACATGGGAGAGAATTGTGGCTTCTGTTCAGTATAAAGGTAAAGGGACCCCTGACCATTAGGTCCAGTTGTGGACGACTCTTGGGTTGCGGCGCTTATCTCACTTTATTGGCCTTGGGAGCCGACGTACAGCTTCCGGGTCATGTGGCCAGCATGACTAAACCGCTTCTGGCAAACCAGAGCAGCGCACAGAAACGCCGTTTACCTTCCCGCCAGAGTGGTACCTATTTATCTACTTGCACTTTGACGTGCTTTCGAACTGCTAGGTTGGCAGGAGCAGGGACCGAGCAACGGTTGCTCACCCCGTCACGGGGATTTGAACTGCCGACCTTCTGATCGGCAAGTCCTAGGCTCTGTGTTTTAACCCACAGCGCCACCCGCGTCCCTCTGTTCAGTATAGTGCTAGCTAATAGTGTGCTTCCGTAGAATGTCCTTTGGCACAGTGACATCACCCCCCCCTTGCAGTTTTGTGTACTGCCAGCAGCTTATCTGTATTGTTTGATAAATTTTCCCTAGGGATTGTTTCCTTTTCTCTTAGTCCCTAGGCTAGCCACCTTTCAGGCTGGTGAACCTCATTGGGCTTGATCGATCACAAGTTGTGCAGATCTGACTCAGAGAACGGAAAACTTAGCAGCTCCTTCCTTCACCTGGTCCCTGCCAATTCCCAGTTCAGCAGCTGGGGCAGAGAGTAGCTCCTCTGCTCCTTGTCTTAGGGCAGCAAGCAGGGCTGGGAGGAAACGCCTTTTGCGAAGCAAGTCTCAGAATTCTCAGTTGTAGTGTCAGTAACAACCAGAAGATGGTGATCTTACACAGGCTTTTAAGGACGAGGCTTTCCTAGTGATCTGGGAAAAACAAGTGTTGGACAGGTAGCAACCTCTCCAAGTCATGTGGTTTCAGATGGTGCTGATTATTTGGAACTGTTCCAAATAATTTTGAGAAAGCTACAGGTTTTGTTTCCTGGTAGTTGATTTACATCAGGGCAGGGGGGATGCTTCCCTGGACTTCCTAGAGGGTCCACCGTATTCTTCTGGATCAGTTGCGTAGGTTGGGCTTACAAGACAGATTTTCAGTGACTCCAGTAGCTGGATGAGTATCTTCAGAAAGTACTGCTGTGGGACACTGTTCCCACCCCATGGCCATTGGCTTAAGGCAGGGTAGGCAGCCCAAGGGCCAGATGTGGCCAAATCGCCTTCTCACTCCGGCCCACTGATGGTCCAGGAATCAGCATGTTTTTACATGAGTAGAATGTGTCCTTTTATTTAAAATGCATCTCTGGGTTATTTGTGAATGAGCTGAGGTTAAATTCAGAGAAGTTGTAGGTTGGGAGATTGTTTGCTCCATAAAGTGGCTTACAGTTGATCTTAGTTTGGATTGCTTCAAATATTTGCTATCTTACTCTTGAGCCAAAAATAGGCTTCAAGTGTTGCCATACAGATTATTTCAGGAAAGAAAGAAAGACCGGGTCCCCAGACTTCGAATATGAAAAAACATGACATGGGAGGAAAATAGATTGGGAGGGTAGAGGAGATAACTCATGCATGCGCTTAAGTTCCTACTTAGAAAAATTTGGAACGCAGAATAGAAAAGAACAGGTCACCAGAGAGAGTTCCCCAGAATAGTGATTGGAAAACACTGCCCCAGACTAGCATGGTGATTGAGGCTGAGCATTATCTGCAGTGTGCAGAAAATAACAACAACAACAACAACAACAACAACAACAACAACAACAACAACAACAACAACAACAACAACACACCAATTTAGCTGGGGTTTCCCACCCACTCTGGGTGGCTCCCAACAGAATATTAAAAGCACAATAAAACACCAAACATTAAAAACTTCCCTATACAGGGCTGCCTTCAGAATGTCTTCTAAACGTCACTTGTTTATTTCCTTGACATCTGATGGGAGGGCGCTCCACAGGGTGGGCACCACTACGGAGAAGGCCCTCTGCCTGGTTCCCTGTAACTTGGCTCCTCGCAGTGAGGGAACTGCCAGAAGGCCCTTGGAGATGGACCTCAGTGTCTTGGCTGAACAATGGGGGTGGAGACGCTCCTTCAGGTATACTGGACCGAGGCTGTTTAGGGATTTAAAAGTCAGCACCAACACTTTTAACTGTGCTCAGAAACGTACTGGGAGCCAATGTAGGTCTTTCAAGACCAGTGTTATATTGTCTCGGTGGCCACTCCCAGTCACCAGTCTAGCTGCTGCATTCTGGACTAGTTGTAGTTTCTGGGTCACCTTCAAAGGTAGCCCCACGTAGAGCGCATTGCAGTAGTCTAAGTGAGAGATAACTAGAGCATGCATCACTCTGGCGAGACAGTCTGTGGGCAGGTAGGGTCTCAGCCTGTGTACCAGATGGAGCTGATAAACAGCTGCCCTGGACACAGAATTGACCTGCACCTCCATGGGCCAGCTGTGAGTCCAAAATGACTCCCAGGCTGCACACCTGATCCTTCAGGGCCACAGTTACCTCATTCAGGACCAAGCAGGGTGTTACTTCAAGGCCAGGGAAAAGTCAATCAGCCAACAAAGTGAAAACAGTCCTACCCCAATGCACACATAAAATGAGCTTCAGACCAAACATGCCACTGCTCTGCCTCAAAAATAAAGGGATGGGGAGCAAAACCTGGCCTCCGTGGCCCAGGTCACACTACTGCCTTTGCGCAAGGTAGCCACCTGGGCAAGAGAACAGGAGGCACCAGACTGAATACACATGCACAGAGCGGACTCCCCCCCCCATTTTCTTGGTATCAGTAGCAGCAGCCTCAACCAGTTCTAAGGATGCCTCTCTCCATCTCCAGCAAAGCTCTTTATGTACCGTGTTTTTCGCCCTATAAGATGTACCTGACCATAAGACGCACCTAGTTTTAGAGGAGGAGAACAAGAAAAAAAATTCTCTCCCTCTCTGTGCAGCGCCTCTCCAGCAAAGCAAAGTCAGAACAGCAAGATGTCTTGGAATTGCAATATGGACAAAATATTATGTTGTATTCTGTGGGTTCGAACAACATTATCACCTTCCACTGAATGACTCTCATTTTAATCAATTGTAAGGCTATTAAAGAGTCTCACAAGAGGGGCAGAAATGGTTCCCAAAAGCTGAAATAGTAATTTTTGCTCAGTTTGAACTCTGTGTTGAACTCCAGTTTTGCAGGGTAATAAGGAAGGTTCTAATGGCGGGGGGGGGGGGAGTTTAACAATTTTTGTAAAGCAGTTTCATGTGCTTGTGGAGTACTTTTGACCCCCTAATACTATTTGCAGTGATATTAAGAAAAGCGAATAGTTTGCCTATTATTGCAATAGTAAAAATATTGGTTCTTTCCCCTCTCTGCTCTTTTAAGAGAAAAGGTGGTTTATGCATCTGTCAGTATGATAGGAACTATTATATATATATATATATATATATATTTAAAATATTTATTGGTTGTTTTTTTAACAAACACACACACAATACACAATACGCAATACACAAATACACACACAAAAACAAACATGCATAATTTCAACTCCTTTTTTCTTGAAACTTACTTCACCGACTTCCCCATACCTCCCCTTTCTGCATCCCAATTCACAAATTGTTTCAGCAAATTCTTCCCCCTTAATTTTATCTACTTTTTCCTCATTCTTTTCTTTTACATGATATTTTGTTTCTATAATCCCCTATTCTCCATAACCACAGCATTTTAGCAATCATTAATTTTGCAATATTTCTTAAGATAGATTTTAAATTTCTTCCAATCTTCTTCCGCTGTCTCTTTCCCCTGGTCCCAAATTCTGCCAGTCATTTCGGCCAGTCCCATATAGTCTATCACCTTCGTCTGCCATTCTTCCAGGGTGGGTAGATCTTGTGTCTTCCAATACTTCGCGATGAGTATTCTTGCAGCTGTTGTCAATGATAGGAACTATTATAGGAGCTACCTTATGTTCTTAGTTTTTCAGTTTTCTCATTCACTTCCATGGAGACAGTATTGACACCCAAACCAGTAAGAGCTGGTTGTTGTTGCTTTTACGAGATTTAGGAGGGAGCCCTTGAAAAGCTATGCAGTAATTTACACCTCATTGTTGTTGGGGAGCAGCTGGACTGTGGTGTTGTAGAAGCCTGACACAGAAGTTTTGTGTTTTTGTTGGTGCTGTCAGGATGGCACCTGTTGAAGGAAAGATAACTGGATCCCCATAGATGTCAACTGTGAATTCACTCCATGCCCTGTCTCTCTCAGGCTCATTGTTCCCCTTCCCTGCCGTGATGAAACTTGCACCCAGTATCGGGGAAACCTCTTCTGTGCTGGGACAGGTGAAGTGTCACTGACGTCAGACAGATGTAATTGTGGAACCACACAAGCAACTCCAGAGGAATCCGGACTCTCCCACAATCCCGTTTGCTCTTCTGGAGAAGGGTGTGATGTGACTCACATTCCCTGTGACTTGTTTTGACACGATCTCCTAGGCTGTGCATCAGCATATGCAATTAACAAACTGGAAAGGTGATTCTTAAACTGAAGGCGAAACAAGCCAGGATGCTTGTTCTCATTACTATGCCTGAGGGTCACACCACACATTATGCAGAGGCAAACGTAGATTTGTTGCTGAGGGTTCACACCGTGGGGAACTGAATTCAACAGTGGCTCCCAGGTGATGTTGATGCATGATGCAAGTGTGTCATTCCTGCACGATAAAGGTAAAGGTAAAGGGACCCCTGACCATTAGGTCCAGTGGTGGAGTGGTACCTATTTATCTACTTGCACTTTGATGTGCTTTTGAACTGCTAGGTTGGCAGGAGCAGGGACCGAGCAACGGGAGCTCACCCCGTCATGGGGATTCGAACCACTGACCTTCTGATCAGCAAGTCCTAGGCTCTGTTGGTTTAACCCACAGTGCCACCCGCGTCCTTCTTGCATGATACACATGCTCAGAAAGACCTGTTTGTCACATCCACACATTGAGGAGTAGGCTTTAAAGAGCTTGAGTGCATACCTGGAAAATGTAATGTGAACTTGAGAACAACTGTCCTAGGAAGGAGGCATTGTATCATACCTGCAAACCCTTTTTCCGGATTCCATCATCTTTTGACTCTCTTCCCTTGCACTCTCCCACCCCTGAATCTTCTGTTTGCTTTCCACTTGGGGCCCTCAGCCCTGCTGTCAACCTCTCTTATATAACATGTTCTTCCTTTTTCCCTTGCAGTCGACTCTGCTGCTGGCAGAACAACCACATATGACTCCGTCCAGACGAAAGATATCTCCCAGGGCATGTTCAGTTCCTTCAAGAAAGAAATCTTTCCTCCCGTTCCAAGTCCTCCACCCATTCGTAGAGCCAGCCTCCCATTCAGCATGGTGTTTAACCCAAACAACCACATTGTTCCACTGATGCTGGATACCCCCAGCAGTGAATATAGTCCTTCTAGCCAGGAAAGTAGCTGCAGTGAGGTCTTTGCCTACAGCATCCAGAACCAAAGGTAAGAGAAGTGAGCCTGGTGGGAGTCAGGTGAAGGCACCTCACCTCAGAGTTCATCTAGATTAATTTGCCACCCAAGATAAAAAGGCTAAGTTGTATTCCCATAGCTGTTGGCTTTCTTCCTGTCCCACAAAATTGGTTGTCTTTATTTGCGTTCCAAATTTACCATCCGCTGTGAGTGCATCATCTATGAGCGGATGATCTTTGCAGGACTTTCTTATCCCCACCCACCAGGCATTTGAATTTGAATCTATTATTTCGGTCACAGACCAGTTCCAGCCCACATACAATATCAAGGAAATCATAAAACACGATAGGGATACATTTGAATTTGCAATTACAGTGGTACCTCAGGTTAAGTACTTAATTCGTTCCGGAGGTCCGTACTTAACCTGAAATTGTTCTTAACCTGAAGCACCACTTTAGCTAATGGGGCCTCCTGCTGCTGCCGTGCCACTGGAGCACGATTTCTGTTCTCATCCTAAAGCAGAGTTCTTAACCTGAAGCACTATTTCTGGGTTAGCAGAGTCTGTAACCTGAAGCGTATGTAACCTGAAGCATATGTAAGCCGAGGTACCACCGTAGGTATAACAGGGACTATACAGATATAGCAACAGTTAAAAAATATATAAATTAAAACTAAGTCACTATCATATAACCTAAACTTATCATTTAAGGCCTTAATCATTATGATAGCACAGCTTGTTCCCTAAGTTTTTGGGCAATCGCACAGAATTTGGCTACCCTTAACGTGATCTCAGGATCCTTGTCCTCTACCAGGGATTTTAGACATTGAAGTTCGGAACCATTTGGAGATTTTTGTATAGCAGGGATGATAAATGCCAAGCGTATATCCCCGTAGAAACAGCAGCGTAACAAGACATGAGAGACAGTTTCTACCTCCATCAAGCCGCAGGGGCAGACTCGTTCCGCGTATGGTTTACCCTCGAATCTGCCCTGCAACAAGGCAGATGGCAGCTCGTTGAATCTAGCAAGCGTAAATGACTGTCATTATTTAGGTATTCGTAATTTTGACAACTAATTTGCTGGGGTAAATCCTCTCCCATTATCTATTATTGCTGGGTGTTTATTCATCTCGCTCACGTGGCATTGCAGTTCCCCATCCCAAATTCATTGGCGGATTATTGCTCTAGCTTTCTCATAACCTACAGCTATCAGGGCCTGTGGGGGAAACCCCACGCCTCTTAGCTTTTCATGCAGTGTAGCTTTCCATTTGGATTGGTAGGAATCCAGTAGGGTTAAGGGTGCCAACCCAACAGGGGAAAAGATAAGTTTTAACCGATAATGGATCTTCAGAACACATATCTGAGCTCTAACAGGGGTTTGCCTGACCTCCAGGCAGACAGCTATGTTAGACACACAAGAAGGGATCCCTAGCAGACAGTGATAGAACTTAGTTTGGAATGGTTCTAAGGAAGCAAGGTTTAAGTTAAAGCCATAGTTTTCCCAGTAGTAATGTATGGAAGTGAGAGCTGGACCATAAAGAAGGCTGATCGCCAAAGAATTGATGCTTTTGAATGATGGTGCTGGAGGAGACTCTTGAGAGTCCCATGGACTGCAAGAAGATCAAACCTCTCCATTCTGAAGGAAATCAGCCCTGAGTGCTCATTGGAAGGACAGATCCTGAAACTAAGGCTCCAATACTTTGGCCACCTCATGAGAAGAGAAGACTCCCTGGTAAAGACCCTGATGCTGGGAAAGATGGAGGGCACAAGGAGAAGGGGACGACAGAGGACGAGATGGTTGGACAGTGTTCTCGAAGCGACAAACATGAGTCTGACCAAGCTGCGGGAGGCAGTGGAAGACAGGAGTGCCTGGTGTGCTCTGGTCCAGGGGGTCACGAAGAGTCGGACACGACTAAACAACAAGGTTTAAGAAGCTGCAAATCCAGCAGGCACGCACTGCAAACTTTGCATGTGTTCTGAAGTCAAGTGTGGCATGAGGGACCTCAAGGGTGCTCTAGTCAAACCCCTAAGTGGCCCCTTGTTTCATGGCAGACAAAATTCAAACAAAGGCATGAATGCGAGTGTTCTCACTGGCTGTTTTTCAGCTCTGGAACTCCGCTTCACTTGGGCTTTGCCATACAGTGGTACTTCGGTTTAAGATATGATATGATAATCTTTATTGTCATTGTCCCATCCAGAACAACGAAATTGAAAATATCTACATCAGACATTCAAAAACCAACAAGCCTGCTACCCCAGCTATCCCAGCCTGGTTAGCCCCCTAAAAACTCTGGTACCCCATAATTAAATACAATATACTCCCACAGAGACTACCTTAAAAGGTAAAGGGACCCCTGACCATTAGGTCTTGTTGTGACTGACTCTGGGGTTGCGCCGCTCATCTCACTTTATTGGCGAAGGGAGCCGTCGTACAGCTTCCGGGTCATGTGGACACCACGACTAAGCCACTTCTGGTGAAACCAGAGCAGCGCACGGAAACGCCGTTTACCGTCCCACTGGAGCGGTACCTATTTATCTACTTGCATTTTGATGTCCTTTCGAACTGCTAGTTTGGCAGGAGCAGGGACCGAGTAATGGGAGCTCACCCCGTTGCGGGGATTCGAACTGCCAACCTTATGATCAGCAAACCCTAGGCTCTGTGGTATAGCCCACAGCGCCACCCGCATCCCTTAGAGACTACCTTACACTGCGTTTAAAACCAAAATCGCATTTGGATAGAAACTGTTTCTCAGATGGCTAGTCCTAATCTTTATAACCCTGGACCTTCTTCCAGAAGGCAGAAGCTGAAAGAGATCATTTCCGGAGTGCGCACTATCTTGCACTATCTCTGCAGCTTCCTTATGGCACCTGGAAGCGTAGATTTGATCCAAGGTGGGAATAGTGCACCCAATTTTTCTCTCCACAGTCTTTACAACCCTGGACAGCATTGTTTGTGACTGTGCAGCTCCCAAACCACACACACAGACCATAAGTTAATACACTCTAAACAGTACAATGGTAAAATGCCATCAACAGGTCCTTTGAGAGATTATTTTTCCGGAGGATTCTCAGACAGCCCTGTTCACAAACAATTCGGTTTACGAACTCCGCAAAACTGGAAGTAGTGTCCTGGTTTGTGAACTTTACCTCGGTCTAAGAACGGAATCCAAAGGTGGAAGGGCACCAGTAGTGGGAGGCCTCATTAGGGGAAGCGTGCCTCGGTTTAAGAATGGTTTCCGTTTAAGAATGGACTTCCGGAATGAATTAAGTTCATAGACTGAGGTACCACTGTATCTTGAACTTCATTTGGAGGAAGTGTAAAATATTTGTATTTGGGCATATGAGGGGTGTGTGTCCCCCCCCCCGAAACATTTCAAATGCTTTGTGAGTATTTGCATTTTCAATACAGTCGTACCTTGGAAGCTGAACAGAATCCGTTCCGGAAGTCCATTCGACTTCCAAAATGTTTGGAAACCAAGGTGTGGCTTCCAGTTGGCTGTAGGAAGCTCCTGCACCCAATCGGAAGCCATGCTGGACGTTTGGCTTCCAAAGAACGTTTGCAAACTGGAACACTCACTCATTTGGGAGCCAAAATGTGCGAGTGCCAAGGTGTTTGGCTTCCAAGGTATGGCTGTATATTGGAACATGTGCTTCCCCCCTGCCAAAGAAACCCCAGTTATTTGTCCTCATATCTTGTGGAGTGGGTTATAATTCTTAACAATGACTTGTGAACTGTGTCTTTCCTCCAGCGTCGACGCTCCTGTGCATTGCAGTTACCCTGAACAGCTGGAACCTACTGCTAACCTAGAGACCCCATATTACCACCCCAATAGCCAGCCTGGGGTTTACCAGTTCAGCCAGTATCCTCAGCACCAGGTGTCCCAGTTGCACCATGGCTCAGTTCACCTTGCTGGCACTGCATTTTCCAGTGTCGGCCTCACGCCAGCTATGCCTGGTAAATCCACCACAGCTTTTCTCCCCATGCCTAGCAACGGGGGACTTGTAACCTATGGAGCAACAGAAGCTTCTCAGGGGTACCTGCAGAACCACGCAGGAGGACAGCTCCTAATACAGCCACCAGCCGGGAACTCGGGTGAGTACCTCAAATGGAATTCCGTCCACCGTGGTTGATTCCTTATTAAGGGAGAGATGCCATTGGAGGCGCTGTCAGCAGTTGACCGGATTGAACACTATCGGAAGGTCCTGAGGCTCAGAGGGGGCCCTCGCCAGCATTCTGGGTGAGGTGGCTGCACCACTGCCAGCATTTATTTTTTCCCCAAAAGATATTTATTAAAGTTTTTAATATATAACAATGAAAAAACAAAATACAAAATACAACATAAAAACAGTTAAAAAACAAATAATTTTCCATAACATATCTTCCTTACGCTTATTTCCCCAGACCTCCTCATACCTCCCTTCTTTGTATTCCACTTCAGTTTGTTAGTTCAGCAAATCCTTACCATTAAACTTTTACCCATTTATAAACCTTTTTTTTCCGTATCTCCTAAAGCATTACAGCTGGAAACCCCTTAGTTTCTATCCAACATCCTTCTAACATTCATTAATTTTACAATATTTCTGCAAATAGCCTTTAAATTTCTTCCAGTCTTCTTTCACCAACTCTTCTCCCTGGTCTCGGATTCTGCCAGTCATTTCTGCCAATTCCATGTATTCCATCACCTTCATCTGCCATTCTTCCAGAGTGGGTAGATCTTGTGTCTTCCAATACTTTGCAATGAGTATTCTTGCTGCTGTTGTAGCATACATAAAAAAAGTTCTGTCCTTTGGCACCAATTGGCCGACAATGCCCATGAGAAAGGCCTCTGGTTTCTTCAGGAAGGTATATTTAAATACCTTTTTCAGTTCATTATATATCATTTCCCAGAAAGCCTTAATCCTTGGGCACGTCCACCAAAGGTGAAAGAATGTACCTTCCGTTTCTTTACATTTCCAACATTTGTTATCGGGCAAACCACTGCCAGCATTTAACACAGCAGTTACAAAAGGCTTTTTAAACGTGGAACTTTTTATTTTTTATTTTTTTATTTTTTTATTTTATTTTATTTATTATTAGAAAATTTTTATTTACAAACAAACAAACACATAGACACGAAACAAAATTCATATTACCCTACCACCCTAAATTACAGACATTAAAACATCCTTGTGACTTCCCTCCACCGTCCCTCACCCTCCTATATATTATAATATAATATTTCACATTGCAATTTTTATCTAAATTTATATTTCTTAACTCTTTTAACTTACTGTTTGTTTTATTTTGTTTTTAACCAGCTTTACAAGCATTAATCCAAACATATCAACATCTTACTTTTTGAGCAGTGCTTGGACATATAATCTTCAGACCATTTCCATTGTATTTTTATTTTCTGGTTTGATTGGTACCTTGTTACTGCAGTTAATCCTGCCAATTCTATAAATTCAATTATTTTATTTATCCAGTCATCCTTTGTGGATATATATTTTAAATTTAGAGCTTTTTAAAAAGGGTATTTCTGTGGCAAACTGCAGCAGTGGTGCAGGCCTTCTTCTAGCACATCCAAATTTTTATTCAAAGGATTAGCATGACTTAAACTGTTGCTCGTGGTAAAGGTAAAGGGACCCCTGACCATTAGGTCCAGTCATGACCGACTATGGGGATGCAGCGCTCATCTCGCTCTATAGGCCGAGGGAGCCAGCGTACAGCTTCCGGGTCATGTGGCCAGCATGACTAAGCCGCTTCTGGCGAACCAGAGCAGCGCACAGAAACACCGTTTACCTTCCCACCTGAGTGGTACCTATTTATCTACTTGCACTTTGACATGCTTTCGAACTGCTAGGTTGGCAGGAGCAGGGACCGAGCAACGGGAGCTCAATCCCATCACGGGGATTGGAACCGCCGACCTTCTGATCGGCAAGCCCTAGGCTCTGTGGTTTAACCCACAGCGCCACCCGCGTCCCTGTTGCTCATGGTAAAAACACTTAAAAATCCCACAGTGGCTGAAACAGCATAAAGGAATTCTTTCTTTTCTTCCCCCTCTGCCTTTCTCTTCTCCTTTTTTCGCTTCTGCCTTCACCCAGGCTATATCCCTGCATTTCAGACTGTGCCCTGGAATGAATTGTGTATGCAAGGAGTTCCATTTTCCAATCAACTTTGCTCACAAATGCAGTTTTCCGGCTCAGGAGGGGGATGTTACTCAGCTGAGCAGGCACAGAACCTTCAGAACCAGAGTGGGCCTCCCAGTCCTTGTCTGCTGCAGCTGCCCAAAGCAGAAGGGCCAGGATATGCTGCTCTCTTGCTCTCTACTGAGCAAATGGCAGATCTAAATTCAAACCTGGATCACCAGTCACAGACACAACACATGGCACTACTTGAAGAGGACTCTGATATGGACAAAATCCCCAAAGAGGAAGACAATATTTCTGGTGAGTCCTAGTCATGTGGTCATCATGAGGTAGTCTGGAATGAAGAATTAAAATGAATGCACCACACTAGGTATGATGGTGTGAGAGCTGTGGTTGCATCTCTCAATGGTTGGTTGGTTGGTTGGTTGGTTGGTTGGTTGGTTGGTTGGTTGGTGGTTGGTTTATTTAAAGAGCAAAATGGTGGTGGAGCCATTCAGAATTAGGCTGTAGTCAGAGAAGAGGAGGGTGGATAGGAAATGGTTTTGAACTTTTTTTTTTGAGTTGTTGGGAGCAGAACTGAGGTGCACAGAGCACACCTCAAGGAGGTCTCGATGATGCTTACAACCTCCGCTTTACTGTTGTCCCAAGAGTGAAATAAAAACCCATCTTGTGGAAATGGGAGGTGAAGCAGCCAGTGAAAGGAAAACTAGAAGGTAGCAAGGTAAACTGCTGTTGGGCCCAAAGGTCACCCCCTTTGGGCCACCCCATACCTCCCTCAAAGGATGGAGTGTTGACCCCCCAGTAGCACTTTCCCTTGACCCTAAGGAGAGAACCTTCGGCTGCCTGTCACTCCATTCCACCTTGCAAGCAAGGGTCAGGGGCTTGCAGTCCCCCTTGATCTTCCCTCACATGAGCTTGTAAGGGCAGGTGAGTATGTTTTTAGCATTTTTCTTGAGTGCTGGGAAGAGCCCAAGCTCCTTTTTGCAAGCTGTTTTTGAGACAAAACATGAGGGTTCCTACTCATCCACAGTAGCAAAGTTGGTTTCTGGAAGCAAAGGAGTCCCAGGTGGAAAGCTTTTGAGTGGCAAGGAGGGCTATCCTTGTGTCCCACAAAGGAGAAGTTGAGGACTGGGAGTAAAAGACCAGGATCCTTATCCTCCACAGTTCCACCAAGTGAAATCCCAAACTCCCTATCAAATTGTCACTCTGTGGACCATCCTATTTTAGATGCATAAGGATTCAAGACATTTGTTCGTTTATGGCATTTAGTCCTCAATTTTCTTGGGTATCCGGGATTGTGCTGCCCATACAGAAGGCCATCTAGGAAGGAGCTGTAATGTTCTTGTTGGCTTGAGGCTCTGGGCAGAAAGTTGCACCTCCCGGTCAGCTAGATAGTCCTCCCCCTGCCATCCCTCTGAAATCCTTTAAGTGTGGTTCCTCAAATCCATGCTGATAGGGCATTCTTGCTTGGAGCTTCCACCACCTCTGATCCCCATATGGGATTGTGTTGATGCTCCAACCCACCCCACTCCAAAATCTTCTGTCAAGTCTTTCTTTACGTGCTCTGAAAATGTGGGTTATATGGAAAAAGTGTACCAGTGACAGCAAGCAGCCATGGTCAGCTGAGGAATACAGTCATACCTCGGGTTACAGATGCTTCAGGTTGCATTTTTCGGGCTACAGACCCACCGAAACCCAGAAGTACCGGAACGGGTCACTTCCGGGTTTTGGCGGTCACGCATGCACAGAAGCGCTAGATCATGCTTTGCACATGCGCAGAAGCACTAAATCTCAACCCGCACGTGCACAGACGTGCCGCTGCGGGTTGCGAACACTGCGGGTTGCGAACGTGCATCCCACGTGGATCACGTTCGCAACCCGAGCGTCCACTGTACTAATATTAGGGTCAGTGATAATACCAAGGTAATACCCCAAGTTTAACTGAAAGTTCCCAAAAGTAAATGTTGCCTTTTTTTGGATTTTCCTTTGTAGTATGGGTGAGGCACAGTAACATTTTCTCTGTGGTTGGAGTTCCAACTACACATAATGTCATTGCATAATTCAGGTTAAAGCTATGTGTTTCTTTAAGAGCTGGGGCATGATCAAGGGATGGTGCTACAGGGGCATGTTTAAAGGGCTACAAAAACGATGCTCCTAGTAGCTATAAGAGAGCCTTTTCTGCTTAAACTACTTCCCTTCTTCTCATGGGGGAAAACAGCAGAGCTGAAGCTCTGAAATGAGCTGATAAGCAAATGCTTCCTTTGGTGGCCAGTTCCCAAACAGCCATCTTCTCATTGCGGGTCACTCTATTGTATGCTGGTGACCCCACAAGGTTCCCATGACCCGAGATGAAATGAGTCACTGTTCCCCCTTCTGGAACTGCTGTTCTAGATACTCAATTCCTGCTCCGGACGACCCCCTTACCATTCTGGCCTGGTGGTGATAATGCGGGTGGGGGACTCTAGACTCAAGAAGGCTAGTTTATGCCCCAAGAGGACTCTGATATCTGGCAACATTTTGGAAATAAGAAACACAACTCTCTGGTGGCTAGCAAAAGTGATTTTTGCAAGGTTTTTTTTTTAACCTCTACCTCTTTTCCTAGACAATGACTTCACAGGATTATTCTGATCTTTATCTTTCCAGATTTTCCCGAAGACAGCAAGAACTGACTCAGAACTGACTCAGGCTTCCTCGTGGAAAACAAGGGGGTTGAGAGAGAGAAAAAATATTATGACTTTTGTTGTTTTTAAACCTTCTCTTGGAGATAAACAGAAAAGAATGTACTTTGTGAAATTCAGAACCCCAAAAGACTAAAAAGAGGAAATAACAGGATTGGCTTGTTATTATTTAATTTATTATTATTGCTCTGCTGAGGAAGGAAGCAGTGAAACATCTTTCAATAAAACAAATTCAGCCCTTTGTTTTGCATGGAAGATGACTTTTTGTTCTTGATACATCCACATTTGTCTTCGTCCCTGATGAGTAGGATTCTTGCAGTTGTCAATCTGCTATAGGGAGCCTTTCATGACCCACCTACTCTTTCCCCCCCCCTTTGTAAACCTTTGTAAACAGAGGTTATCACTCTGTCCCCCAAGTCCTCCACAAGCTTCACGAGTCTCCACCAGGCCCTCCAAGAGTCCTCTTCCCTGAGTTCCCTTGGTGTGTTCATCTTTGTTAGTTTTTCTAATTAGAAGTTTGCCCCACTAAATCATTGGAGCTCATGGCTTACTGCCCATTCTGGCAGCTCTGAGTCTTGCTCCTCCACCTTATGTTCCAAACAGAGCACAAGGAAGGGGGAATTGATCTCCTTGCTTTCTTTTCTTCAACATTTTATTTTCATTGATATACAGCTAAAGATATACAAAAGTTTACACCCTAAACCAAGTATCTTTTGACAACATACCAGAACAAAAGAAAAGAAAATCTAATCTAAACAGAAACAGGAGCAAAGGAAAGGGAGATGAAGAAGAAAAACAGAAGAAAGAAAAAGTAAAGGGAAAAACGAAGACTTCTGACTCTCTGTCAGCTAAATACAGTAACTTGTTCAAAGTATTCACTCAAATCGACACCCAACTATTCTGTTTTCTACAAGCCAATGTTTTTTCAATCTTCAGATCCAGATATTGCAAGTTTGTTTTCTTTTTCATGCAAAAAGTCCATGAGAAGTTTCCAGTCCTTAATAAATGCCAATATGTTTCAGGCAGCCCTCTAAAAAAATCCAGGGCTGCAATACTTCATTGGAACTCTTTTGCTATCATCTGCCAGCACCTTACTCATTCCTGAAATCCTTAATCCAGCCTCCATGGTGGATTCCTGAGGACCAGAAGAGGATAAGGAAGAATGGATTAGGTACTGCTCTGGACTGATGGGCCCTTAATTCCTAGCCAGTCGCTTTGCCAATATTTTGGCTTAAACGTCAATTGCTCCATTTGTCACTTCAGCTCATGGCACCAGAAACAGCTTGCTTGTTGCTTGTGTTAACTTCCTGTTTAAAACAGCAGAGAAAGAGCAGATTTGGTGTTATCTTCTGGAAGGACATTTCCTCGGTCAAATGTTATCAGACAGAGAATGTTGGATATTGCTGTTGATTAATATATCCTGTGGCAACATTATTATTATTATTTAAACCCATTACAAACGAGTCATATGCCAGTGAACTAAAGTTAAATGAACATGTTTAATTGTTCTTTCTCAGTTTCAGTTTAGATAGGATTTATGCCCCATTGGATGAAATGACTACAAAAGCTGGCCTCCATGGGGTGTAAGTCTCAGATGTTTTGAATAGTAGCAAAAGGAGTAGTATTTCATCCTTAAAAATACATAGGGTGTGTTTGTATGACTCTGTCCAGACTAGGACCTGCCAGTTCCACATCCTGCTGGTACAGGTGCGCTAAATGTTAAGACACAAATATTTCTATGCATAACATCAAATTGCACATGTAACCTTTTCTGTTACACAGCATGACCGAGCTACCATGCCTGAGCCAGCCATGGAAACTATCATCAACTGCTCTGGAATAAAAACAAGCTGCAGGGTTTTATTTCATTTTTTTAACAGAGGCATGGTAAAATCCCCAACTGTAAATTTTGAGAGAAAAGCCCTGTTACTCTGTTATTTGGTCTACATGATGGAATTCTGGCTCACTGTGAGTCACTGAGAATAAGCTCTGTTGCATTTCCTCCTCTCGGGAAAAGTTAAATATCTGTATTTCAAACTTTTTCTATTCCTAATTTCCCTGGTTCTGTTCTCTCTGCCCCGCCATTCATTTTGCCAAACCCTCCATGTCATTTACGAAGTGTGCGTGCACACGAAAGCTCATACCAATAGCTAACTTAGTTGGTCTCTAAGGTGCTAATGGGACGCGGGTGGCGCTGTGGGTAAAAGCCTCAGCGCCTAGGGCTTGCCGATCGAAAGGTCGGCGGTTCGAATCCCCGTGGCGGGGTGCGCTCCCGTTGCTCGTCCCAGCGCCTGCCAACCTAGCAGTTCGAAAGCACCCCCGGGTGCAAGTAGATAAATAGGGACCGCTTACTGGCGGGAAGGTAAACGGCGTTTCCGTGTGCGGCTCTGGCTCGCCAGAGCAGCGATGTCACGCTGGCCACGTGACCCGGAAGTGTCTCCGGACAGCGCTGGCCCCCGGCCTCTTGAGTGAGATGGGCGCACAACCCCAGAGTCTGGCAAGACTGGCCCGTACGGGCAGGGGTACCTTTACCTTTACCTTTAAGGTGCTAATGGAAGGAATTTTTTAATTGATTTTTATTTTTCTTTTGTTTCGACTATGGCAGACCAACACGGCTACCTACCTGTAACTATTTACATCTCTTGTTTGCCCTGTTGCGATTGGGCATCCCACACAGCTTGCCAAATCCCTAGAAATCCCACCACTTCCATTTCTCTCAAATTACATAAACTATTGGTCCATGCTATGTTTCCAAGGGCTTTTCAAAAAAACAACAACCAATCAACATGTAGATATAATTGAAAATCTGGCACTGCTACTCTGCCTTCTTTCCCATGTCCCCAGAGTTTATTCTCTCAAACAAAATGATTCATTTTTGTCTGCCAACCCTTTGTGTCTTTCCTGAAACTGCAGAAGGGTTATGCTACAAATGATAGATTTAGGACAGACCATTGGGAGAAATCTTCCATCTTGCTCCTTAGCTGATCCTAATCATATCTTTAAAATCTTCATTAAAATGAGTAAAGCAGTTGCTTTGTCAAAATGTCTATATGAGGCAAAATTGCATATAAATGTGTTCATTAGGCGAAATTTGCACTAAGATACTGAGGAAATTTCTGGAATACCTTGTGGTTTTTTTGTTTTAAATTCCAAACTTATTTGGAAACGTGGAAAATGAAATTGTGAGTGGAAAAATGAGAAACTGGAAAGGGCAGATGTGCCCACTCATAATCCCAGGGGAGTATATATTGTAGAAATGCAGGCTACTATACTAAGTTTTTGGGGATGCGGGTGGCGCTGTGGGTAAAAGCCTCAGCGCCTAGGGCTTGCCGATCGAAAGGTCAGCGGTTCGAACCCCCCGGCGGGGTGCGCTCCCGTTGCTCGGTCCCAGCACCTGCCAACCTAGCAGTTCGAAAGCACCCCCGGGTGCAAGTAGATAAATAGGGACCGCTTACTAGCGGGAAGGTAAACGGCGTTTCCGTGTGCGGCTCTGGCTCGCCAGAGCAGCGATGTCACGCTGGCCACGTGACCCGGAAGTGTCTCCGGACAGCACTGGCCCCCAGCCTCTTGAGTGAGATGGGCGCACAATACTAAGTTTAGTTCCCACTTAGTTCCCATTGATTTCAAAGGGATTTAAGCCATGATTAATTTGTCTCATTAATTTTAATGGCAGCTAAATTAAGCTAAATAGACCCAGTCTGTTTTCTGTAACATGTAGTTTGGGCATGTTCAAATCCGTATGGAAGAGAAAACCAGGAAAAGGGTACAGATTCAAGTCGTGAAATCTCTGCTGTTTTAGTGGAAGCTGTGCATTGCTGCTTTGGGTTTACAGTGCACAATTGGGACTTATACACAAGGGATTCTAAGAGAACAAAAGCGATGAGTGGAGAATATATTTCCCAAGACTCTGACAGTTCCTCCTATGATGTCAATCCATGTTTGTTCGCACAAAACTTCTCCTTTTTGAAAGCACCTTTCTGCTTTTGCATTACGCCACAGTAACCGCAGGATATAAGCAAGCCCTCTCAACTCTGTGCACTCGAAAGGGAGATCTAGTCATGTTCATGTGTGTGAACTGTCTCCGTCAAAATTTCCTCCCTCGTGCATTGAAATTTCCCTTTTCGGAGCCAAAGATTTTCCCCTGCAGACTTAGGTGAATATGATCAGAACCAGGGTTTTAATACTAGGGAAATGCAAATAATAGTTACAGAAAAAATGAGTAGGTACAACCCTCACCAGTGTATGTCAGTAATTAAATTATTATAATAAAAGATAATTAAATTATTAAATTATTATAATTAAATTATTAAATTAAATAATTAAATTATTATAATAAAAGAATTTATTATAAATATTTCCATGCCATCTTTCAGGACATACCACATCATGTGTAAATAACACATTTGAATTAAATCATCTCATTCCAAGTACCTTGGGTTAAGTACTTAATTCGTTCCGGAGGTCTGTTCTTAACCTGAGACTGTTCTTAACCTGAAGCACCACTTTAGCTAATGGGGCCTCCCGCTGCTTCCGCCCCACTGGAGCACAATTTCTGTTCTCATCCTGAAGCAAAGTTCTTAACCCGAGGTACTATTTCTGGGTTAGCAGAGTCTGTAACCTGAAGCGTCTGTAACCTGAGGTACCACTGTAAATCATCTCATTCCCATAAATCTGGTCCCCCTCACGAAGAGCACGTGTTGCGGTGAGATCATCAGGACTGACCTCACTGTGTGGGTGGGAGCGATTGGATAGCCGCAACAACCCGATTGTACCTCGGGTATAGTACCTCGGACTTAAGAACTTTGCTTCAGGATGAGAACAAAATTGTGCTCCAGTGGGGCGGAAGCAGCAGGAGGCCCCATTAGCTAAAGCGGTGCTTCAGGTTAAGAATAGTTTCAGGTTAAGAACGGACCTCCAGAACGAATTAAGTACTTAACCCAAGGTACCACTGTATGGGCTGGAGGATAATGGCCAAGAATCTGATGTTTGAAGTGATGGCTGTGTGGGTGGACATCATAATTGAGCTCTGAATGCAATTTCTTCCTTTGTCATTCATATATTTTCAGTTGAAATGGCCCACACATTGAGATCATCTGCTGGTAGAAAA